AATGGGAAACGACGAAGGTTTCAGTGTCGCCTGCTTCAATAAAATCTTTGTCCCATCTCTAGTTCTCCGTATAATCTTCTTTCAAGTCCTCTCCATTTCTTGGTCCCTCCTCTCTGTGTACTCTCTGTTTATTGATAAGCCGCATGACTTTGTTTGAAGATGTCTTTTTTAATTAATCTTAAGCTTGTGATGCTAGTGTTTTATTTTATATCATTGAAAAACGAGTAAAGGACATTATGTTATTAATATTTGAAAAGTTTCAAGTATAAATATATATATATATATATATAGGGTGTGGTTCCGGTGAGAAAGGAGTCTCAAGAGAGAAATAAGAATAAAACCTGACCATAGATTTATTTGATCGGATGGCTACAGTTGGAGTGAAATTAAAACTTCCATCCACTTGTTACGGCATAGTGGAGGAGTTATAAAAGGCAAGGCTTCATTGTAATAAATACATAAGGGCTAAAGGGTAATACATGAAATCTGTTTGTTACATGCATCCGGCTTATTGTCTTCTCTCTCATGGGTTGTTTCCATATTGATTACAATCTAAATGTTGGAAATGTTGGAGAATAGGATAAATGCACTAATGACTTAAAATAGTGAAAATAATACATGAAAGTGCAATGTTTTGATTACTAGAGTGCACATACATAAATTTATTTATTTATAATATGTAATGTGCATAGCATATAAAACATATGTGCAGACTTAATACTACTTAATAGTGCATGTGAAAATGGATACATTGCAATGAATAATTTGAAAACTGATAATATTATTGCATAGGAGAGTAGTTTTATACTATATGCATTTGATTTAGTAGATATGTGCACATTACATTAATATATTATTGAACCTTAATTTTTTACGTACTTAAGTGCACTTTTATATGATATTCAATATATTTTTCACTTTTATAGGTTTTATATTGCAAAAGTGCATGGTGCACCTTATACGTATTATTATGCACTATGTTTTAAATTATGCATGTTTAAATTTTAAAGTTGGTATATGCTAACAATTTGATGTTTTTTATATTCTCAATTATGTCACAGTCATGACTCATGATGATATTTATTTTTCATAGTATTTACTTTTTAAGTACAAAAATATAAAAAGTGCATAATTTGAAATTTTGAACTTTAAAATATGATATTGATGAAATTCAAAATACATAATACGTATGGCCCTACAAAAATATGTAAATAATAGCTACACATTAAAAAAGATGGAATTCAACTATGATAACACAAAGGAATACAGAGTAATAAATAAAAAAAATCCAAAGCCTGGTACGCACAATGCATGCCAATTGCCAAACGGCCAAAGTAGTGACAACATTTTAGGAACTTACATTTAATGATAATTAATGCATTCATGAAATGACTAAATAGCCTTTACACATGTGCACGGATTATTGAAAAGAAGTATAAATCTAGTGGTTGTGATTCATTCTTACTTCTCTCCTAAGATGATATTCTCACTTGATCCTAAATCTATATATATAAATATATATATATATATATATATATATATATGTGTGTGTGTGTGTGTGTGTGTGTGCATGGTAGCTTTACTTCTAGGATTTTACTATCCAAGTTACGATCCACGAGTTACGATCTCCTAGACCCCTTCCGATCCGAGCTAGGATCTCGAGTTTAACAACCTTGCTAATAGGTTTATAGCTACACTACTACTGGGCCACCATGACTCTTGAAACTAGCATAAGTAGAGGTGTTTTATTCAATAATAAGATCAATCTTTAGGAGTAATAGTTCTATATAAGTATTTGGTGGAACTGGTAGACAGCTTCTACCCCAACCATCGTGGTTGGAACCTACTGGGACTAAAAAAATATAGCTTTTCAATCTTATTTGTCTCTCAACCACGGCCATAAAATATTGGTTTTTATTTATTATCTTATATTCTTTAATATTACGTCTTAGCCAAGAAATCAACTACTATTTCCGCCCCATAATTCCCCCTCTCTTTGACATGACAAACTGATAGAGAGCAGGTAGAGCATGTGACGGGAACGAGCTTGGGCCAGCTATGGGTTGGGATTATAGTTTTATTTAGGGAAAATCGCACTTTTAGTCCCTGAAATAGTCACCTTATTGAAATGTCAGACCCGTATTCCTAAGATTGTAAATGTCACCCCTCAATTGTCCAAATTGTTGTAAATGTGATCCGTTGAGGGGTGAAATGTACTCCATGTCCACATTATATATTTCACCTCTCAAAGGACCACATTTACAACAATTCGGACAATTGAGGGGTGATATTTACAAACTGGGGAACACAGGTCTGACATTTCAATATGGTGACTATTTCAGGGACTAAAAATACAATTTTCCCTTTTATTTATTATTATAAAGTTTATGTTATGTTTTTAGTTTGGGCCTATTATTAGTAGAGTAGTTAGTAGAATTAGTATGGGCTTAATTAGGATTTAATTAATTTGGGCTCGATTAGGGTTTCTCTTGAGTCTCTTACTAGAAGGCTATTTATACCCCTTGCTAGGGTTCATTCTTGCTCATCTTGGAATAAAGTTGGATTTCAGCCGCTTGGTTCTGGGCAACGGTTTTTATCGTTGATTATCTGGACAACGGTTTACCTCGTTGTTTTTTATTTTTCTGTTCTCAACAATTGATCCGACCTGCCGGATCCCGTCCCTCCGGAATGACAAGATCTCAGAATGATCGCTTGACAGAGATGGAGGCCGAGCAAACAAAGATGGCGGCCGAGCAAGCAAGGATGAATCAAACCTTGGAAGAACACGATGTGGAGTACAATCTGTCGGTTAAGAATGGAGGGAGAGACAGTCCAAATTATAATTCTACAGGGACACGTTCCAACATCTTTTCATTGCCAAACACGGGTCCTCCGTTGACTCCTCCGTTGACTGCCAGTGGTGGCAACATACAACGATCAAATGGCAGCTTCCCGAAAGATAAGGGGCAGCCCCCGGGGACAAATTCAGGGCTGACCGGGCAGTCTATTGCACGCTCTCAGTTCACTCGACTTCCGTCGAAAGAGTTAGCAGAATTGCGGGCGAAAGGATTATGCTTTAGGTGTAAGAAACCATTTACACCAGAGCATGATTGCCCCTTGTAGGGGTTGCCGGTAATGATAGCTGAGGAGGATGAGGAGTTAGACCTCCAACAACATGAGTATTGTGAAATAACCGGTCAGGAAAATGTTCAGAAAGGCCAGGGGGTCCGGAAGGAGGTGAAGGATACTTTCCAGTGTATGCTATGGCTGGAAATTTCAGCCCTCGATCTGCGAAATTTCAACCTTGAGGACAAGATTATTTTGAAGGAGGATGGATTGATAGAGAGCAGGAAGAGCGTGGGGCGTGAATGGGCTTGGGCCCACTTCCGTGGGCCGGGTATGGGCTAGGATTATAGTTTTATTTATTATTATAAAGTTTATGTTATGTTTTTAGTTTGGGCCTATTATTAGTAGAGTAACTAGTTGAGTTAGTATGGGCTTAATTAGGATTTAATTAATTTGGGCTTGATTAAGGTTTCTCTTGAGTCTCTTACTAGAAGGCTATTTATACCCCTTGATAGGGTTCATTCTTGCTCATCTTGGAATAAAGTTGGATTTCAGCCTTTTGGCTCTAGGAAACGTTTTTTTTGTTGATTATCTAGGCAACGATTTACCTAAGGGTGGCAGCGGGTCGGATTTATACCGGGTGAAGACTCATCCGTCGTCCACCTGTTAATTTTTCATAGTCCACCCACCCGTCCGTCATCCATTAAAATCTACATCCACATCCAACCCATCCATCATGAACGGGTTATCGGGTGGACCGGGTGAGTAACGGGTGAATATAAATGGTCAAACTTGAAAGACAAAATAAATAAGTTATAAAGAGAAATCATGACAAAAATTAAGAATTCATTGAAAAATAACTACAAAAACTTGAGCAATTAAGTATATTACAATCATTAATTCACTGCCGATGATAAAGAAAGAACTAATTGTCAAACAAAATAGATATAAAATTTCTTCAAATTGTCAATTCTACATTTCTGCATCAAAACAAAACTATTTTTGCAATTCAATTGTCACTTCTTGAAACTCTCCAATTGTCTTTATTTCACTTATTCATAGATATGTGTCTTCTCCATCTTGTCATTATTGACAAAAAATATAAAATTCATTATATAAAATTCACTGCCATTGCCTAGAGGGAGAATTAACAAAAAAAAGAATTTAATCATATTAATATTAATTATCATTATTATTAATATATATTATTAAATAGATATTATTATTATATATTTATATGTGGGTCAGCGGGTGCGGGTGGATGGAGCGTGTGACGGGTCGGGTGATGGGTTGGATAAGCATTCATCCACACCCGATCCAACCCATCTTTCAATCCACCCGTTATCCATTTTTCATCCATATTTTTTCGAATTTTCGTCCATATTTTCGGTTCGGGTTGACCGAGTATCCGCATGTGCGGGTGATATTGCCAGCCCCATTTACCCCGTTGATTTTTATTTTTCTGTTCTCGACACAACCTATAAGAAAATGAAATTGCGCGTTGTCCTTTATTGATTACACTTTTGTTTCTTTAAAAGCAAAACAAGGAAAAAACTGGAACAACCCTAAAAGAAAAACATTGCAAAAAAATTGGGACAAAGGGAGTGTATATTTAGTCAAATCATTTATTTCTATTTAACTATTCATCTTCAATTTCTTTCCAACCATCTCAATTTAAGAATAAGTACGGGAAATTAGTTCACCACTTCCCTTCCCTTGTATATGAAATCTCCCATACAAGGGATAAAATAACTATGCCCGAAATATTAATATTAATACAACAACAACAACAAATTGTGCAGCCTCTTCCAATGGACATTCTCTTTTCCTTTTCCAATTTCAGTATTTGGTTGATTGGGGTATGGGGAGGAATTCATTCTCCAAATTCGGCTTGCAACTTCTATACTCTTGTAATACGTAAAATGTATTGTCAGGATGATAGTAGGGATATGGCATCCAGATTATTTCCGTGCATGAGTTCCCAGTTAAAAAGGAAGAAAGATCACGGTTCGTCCACTGACCTTTTCCTTCATTTTGTACTTTCCTCTCATATTGTAAGATGAATTACGTATTTCATTGCTAACAGTCAAAATATACAATATCCTCTTCTAATGGGCAAGTAATCCTGTGGGGCAGCTCTGGGTAAGGGGAAGAACATTCTTCCTGGAAGTTAAGGAATTGAAATTCCTTGGGAAAAAGTTTTCCCTGCAACCAAACTGCATAGTTTACAAGTTCAAGGAATTAGGTTGAAATTGGTCCTAGGAAGTTGAAGTCCATTGTAGTAAAGAGGCAATAAGTGTTCCAAGGCCAGGTGACATTTATAACAATATCACAAAATGAACATTAGTTAAAGGGAAAATGGAAACTAATAATCCAACCTTTTAGCGATCTTCTTACAATAGTCCCACATTTTCATTATTCATGAATATACCAACCTTTGCACCCCATCTTCATTCACTGGTCCCTGACCGATTTATGACCTGTTATTCCAAGTTATTTTCTTATCTTTGTAAAACATTATGTGATCGTAAGGTGGGAATTATGGTATAATGTTTTACAAAGATAAGAAAATAACTTGGAATAACATGTCATAAATCGGTCAGGGACTATTGTAAGGTGAATGAAGATGGGGTGCAAAGGTTGGATTATTCATGAATAATGAAAAGGTGAGACTATTGTAAGAAGACCGCTATAAGGTTGGATTATTAGTTTCCATTTTCCCTTAGTTAAATACTCGGAGCTCATCTTTAGTTATATCTGATCTTTGATCAAGTAAGTTAAACTTTGAAGTAAGACTGAGTGACTGATCGGGAGGTGGAAATTTAGTATTCGTATAATTCTTCTTAAGTTTTTCCGTTGTGCGGTTTGCACACAGTGGGAACAAAATGACTTTCTTTAGAATGCATATTCCCTCCTCAGATCTCCTTTTCATTTGGCTTTGCATGCTACGTTCTCTCATACTTTTCAGAAGAAAGTAAAGAACCTTCCCTTGTTTCCAACTCTTTTTATCCATGTATTATCCCCATGAAACGAACAACATTCACATAACTCATTCGGTCATTCCTCTCATTTAGAGTAAAATAGCATTCTTAATTATCGATGTTGATAATCCTCTGTTAGCACAGCAGTGTCGGCCCCAAGGATCGGGCTATTGGCTACCCAATGCTTTTCTCTAACAGATGCTATTCGAATGCTGTCTATCAGCCCGAGTAGATGGGACGGTCCTGGACCACTGGTCCATGCCCATTCATGATTCATACCATCAACATCCAAACAAATCTGGCTAGGTGATGAATTTTTATACGTTTCTGTCTGTGTGCATATACTAACTCCAGTTCTAAACCTTCCAGGCCGAGCAGAGGCTTTACTTATTGCTGCTTATGGCAAGGGCCTAAAGATCAGTAACATTCAAAGTGTGACTGAGAACTTCATATCTTAAAAGCTGGAAGGACTACATGTTTCCTATTTCTCTCCTTTCCTGGGCTTGGAGGAAACACTCAGGCCTTTTTGCATATTTCTCTTTCAGTCTTCCCATTCCAATGCTGACTGGTATTTATGTCACTGGAACCATTTAGATCAGCCATTAATCCCAATGACCTCCAAAGGATTCTTGGTTTAAGCAGATATGGTTGATATGAAGACATTCAAGTGATATTCTGGTCCCTCAAGTGATTCCCTGTTGTCAGTTATAACTTATAAGTCCCCCACTCCTATCCTAATAATGGAGACATCAAACTTTTGAATCCCTTGTTGTCCCATAGAAGCAGTCTTTCCAAGAGATTCAGGTGAGCACCCTTTAATATGCCACATTATTAAATCTGGAACTAAACTCATGCAAGTACTCAAGTAGGTAATTTGAATTCATATGGGGCCCCTACATGAATCCACATTGGTTTATTTTACCACATCCGGTAATGTGGCCTTATTAAGTGTGCCTAGGGCCGTCTAATGAATTTGGAGGCCCCGATTCCAAATGGAAAATTGAGCCCCCCTAAAACAAGAAAAAATACAAATTTTAACAATGAAATACAAATAGACTAGAAAGTTCAATGAAATATAAGTTTTATGATATTTAAAATACACAAATTAGTGAATCTAAAAGTTATGTACCTTTTGGAATCTTGAATAATACATAACATCTAGAAAAATCAACCTATAACTAATATCACATTCTAAGTTTTTGAAGCCCCCTACAAGAGTGGACTCTGATGCCAAGCACCTACCGCATCTCCTAAAAGATGGCCCCCGAGTGTGCCCCACCTTAGAATTTTTCCATAGAAGCATGTGCAATTTGTTTTTATCCTTGTTTCTGTCAACAATGATGTTACCATTAGGATCTGAGGGACTGATATGACCAATTGTAGAACACCCCAGAGATTGATCTTTAACAACTTGATAAATCTCTCTCTCTCTCTCTCCCTCTCTCTCTTTACACACACACACATATAGGTTATGGATCAAATAAAAACCTTTCTTGTCGTGAAAACTGCAAATCGTTCACTTTATCCCCTAATAAAAAAGCGGTGTCATTTTTGTAAAGAAGTCAAAGTTTTTTTGTCAATGCGTAAAAGTGCAACATAGAAATCTAATAATGTACCATATTAGGGAAAAAGTGAACGATTTATAGTTTTCACGGGAAAAAAGGTTTTTATTTGATCTGTGTCCTATATATAGATATAGGGAGCGGTTCTAATGAGAACAACGCTTAATGTGAGAAGTGAGAATGCATCAAAGTCGTTGATCTTTGAGAAATAGCGGTCATAATTTGTAGAGTGCACTCCTATATAGTATAGTTGATGTGTGTTTCAACTAAATTTAATTCTACGATTGTTATTTATTACCAATTTAGAATTGAATTTAGTAACTATTGAATTTCTTTTAATTTACTAATACGTAGACATGATAGAGTTAAATGAGTGCAATCATTTTTATATTAACTAGTGTTTTATACAGGTGTTGTCCCGAACAGATGTTGAGAATATTTGAATACTTTATAAGATATATTTTATGCGTACAATACATAAGTAATTCATCATTTTACTTCAAATAAATGTTTGCAATTCGTTATGAATAGTAATGTAATTAAAGGGAATGTATTTAAAAGTAATGTAGCATCACCATACCAAATATCATATTGTTAGGTTGAGGAAACCTCTGATTTTTGTAAACAACATTCACCATCTTGGTGAAGCATTTTGTTTCTTTTCAATATATGAGCATCTTAAGATGTGTTTACTCATTGCCCTTGATATTGCAATGTATAATTGACCATTAGTGAAATTTATTTCTCAAGGTAGGGATAAAATTTTATGTGATAACATTTAGATTTGACTTTTGGTTGTCATTTCAAAGCCCGCCATCATAGAAAATTGGATTTTAATGTACCAACTCCCCCTCCCCCCCCCCCCCCCCCCGTGAAATATAAATTCGATGCATAAGCCCCGTGTGATTTAAAAAATGCGTCAAATCCTTATGTGTTATGGTTATTCATAGCAAAATCCCTTATATGACCAAATTTAATTACTAAGAAATGAAAAATGATTAGTTTTTTGGTATCATTTAATTTTTTTGACAAAGTTACTTGCATATTCAATCATACCGATAGTATTATTTATCGATTTGTGTGTCATCCTTGCGTAGGGGCCACACTAATCGACTAGCACCAATGGCTAGATTGCTTAATCATGTACTCCCTTCGTCCCATTAGACTTTGCCAACTTTGTTTTTTTTGTTGTCCCAAAAAATTTTGTCACTTTCTTATTAAAGCAACTAATTTGTCGTTCTGCACATTTCTCTCCTCTGCTCAAATATTAACTACAGAGTTTCTACTATTCTTATTTCTCACCTACTTTGCATTTGGCAAAGTCCACCGGGACGAAGGTAGTACTCCCTCTGTTCCTTAAAACTTTGCCATCTTTCCTTTTTGGGACGTCCCAAAAAACTTTGCCACTTTCCCTTTTAATCAATTATTTTGTGGTTTCTTTTATTCTCTTTCCTCTGCACAAACCTCAACTACACAATTTTTACTTTATTATTCTCCGTGCCGGTCAACTTTGGTAAAGTTTTAAGAGACGGAGGTAGTATAACTTTATTAAGATACTCATATATGGTTTCTTCTCTGTATTTTATTAAGAAGTGATTTCAAAATTGTATAATTTGTTCTTGGAGGGGTTTTTGTGCATGAATATTTATAAAATAAGGGGGTTTGACACTTTTTTTAAATCACAAGGAGCCAATGAGCCAAATTAATATTTTACAAGGGAGCCATTATTACATCTCAATCAGAGTTGGCTATGACAACCTTTCTCAAATCTCTATCTTGAGTTTGCTGAAAAGTGAAAACTATATAGCATTGGCACACCAAACGAAACGACACACACACCTAATTAAATTTCAATGGAGTTCCGCTCCCTATATATACTTTTAGACTTTTAGTTCTAAGCTATATATCACTTCTACAAAATACCAAATGAATTTATAATGCAAAAGAACTGTGTGGATTAAAAAGCAACTTAATTGCTAATTTAACCCCATGTAAGTAGGCTTGGATTCGGTTCGGGCCACCTAGCCCGTGACCCGGCCCGGCCCGTTACTGTGCAGGCCTGGGATCGGCCCGGTCTAGTGGTCGGGAATGGGTGTAGACTCGAACTGGGGGGGGGGGGGGGAGGCGGGGCAGGCTCGGTTCAGGCAGACGACCTGGCCGGGCCGGGTCGGGTCCAACGGTCAAATACTCAAAAAAAAAAAAATGGGTTTGGGCCACAACTAGCCGTTGGGGGTGGGCTGGAAGGGGGGGGGGGGGGGGGGGGTAAAAAAATATTATAAATACTCCTAATCTTAAACATTAATCCATATCTCTTCTCCAAAATCCTACTCTCTACTCTCTAATTATCTTCATCTTCTCAAATTCTCTTATTCTCCAATATATTATATATCTACTTATATTATTTATCTACTTAGAAATACATATATTATAATTTGTATTACTTATATTTCTTATCTACTTATATATTTATGAATACATATATTATAATACTTATATTTGTTATCTACTTAATCTCTACTTATTGTCTACTTATTATCTACTTATATCTACTAAATACATACATATTACAATTTATATCTACTTAGTTATAATTGTTAGAATTTTATTTCATTAAAGTTAGAATTGTTAGAATTTTATTTCATTAGTTCGAATTGTTTTTATAAATTAATATTTGTTACATTTTTAAGATGGAAGGTGGTAGATATTCGATTGATATGGGTAACCTCGAGTGCAACCGAACGAACGAGCTTGCGAGGAAGAAATCTTGCAAAGGTAAATCGCATATCGGCTCTTCATCTCAAAGCCGAGATGATTTTCATACAGGTTACGCAAGGAGTGATGGGGATGCCATGACCGACGAACAACTTGAACAAGAATTGCATCGACATAATAGTCGGTTTTTCCAAGACCAGCTGAGGACCATTGATGAAGAAGAGCTCGAGGACGACGATGTGGAGGAAGTAATTTCGGAGAGCCACGACGGTGACGCCGAGGAGGGTGGCGGCAGCGACGATGTGCAAGATAGTCTAAAAGCGTTAGGAGCATCTTTGGAGGTAGTCGGGGGGGGGGGGGGGGGGGGGATTAGACGTTGTTGGGGTAATGGTCAACTTAGAAAAAAATGGCATGATTATTTGATTGAAAGAGGTGAAAAATATGTGGTTTTTCATAAAGATTTGTCTATTCGTTGGAATAGTACTTATAAGTTAATTGCAGTTGTTCTTAGATCTAAACAACATTTTCCTGCTTTTATGAAACAATATGATAACTATATTATAAACTCGACTGAGATCGACACCTGTGAAAAAATTTGTAATGCTTTGGTATATTTTAATAATGCAATTGAAACTTTTAGTCATGTTTATAAACCTACCTCAAACCAATTTATTCGTGAAGCTATTAATCTCGCCGGGCTTTTTCAAATTTTGAGAATGTCGATTCTGTGAGTTATTTTGCTGGTTTTATGAAGGAAAAGTTTTTAAAATATTATTCACATATTCCCTATATTTATGGTATGGCATTTGTTCTCGATCCTCGATTTAGACTTGGTTCTTTAAAAGAATGTTTGAATTATTATTATGCTGCTTTTTTTGGTCCAATGCCAATGTATGATGACAAGTTGACAACCCAATTGATCCGAAAAAAGAATACAACGAGGTTAGTGATATATTTTATGCATTATTTAATGAGTTTCCTGCACAATACGACAACGCGCCCCCTCCCCCGACACAAACCTCTTCATCTAAAGGAAAATCAATTTTGGAATCTACATTTGTCAATCTTATTAAAAAAACCAAAACAACACCTGCTACTCAACAAAGCACAATTAATGAGATTTCTTTGTATTTAACATATGATGTTGATTTTGAAGAAGATGGTGACTTTGACGTTCTAAACTGGTGGAAGGGAAAAGAAAGAATGTTCCCGGTTTTAGTAGAGATGGCTAAGCAAGTGCTATCAATGCCGATTTCAACAGTTGCCGTCGAACAAGAATTTAGTTCGGCTGGCAATGTACTAACACAATGTAGAACGAGGTTGAACGCAGAATCTATTGAGATGGTTATATGCTACCACGATTGGTTGAAGGCGGCCCGTAGAGTTCAAGAAATTGACATCACCCCATCCCAACACTTCATGGATGAATCTACAACCGAGGGTGGCTCTACCTATTACGGAGATTCCGATTGATTAGTATTTCACTATTTCATGTTTTAAATTTACCTTCAATTGTAACTTATAAACTTGTAGTTCATATTTCAAATAAATATACGTTCATTTTTTATATGTAGCATTTTTTACTCAATTCATAAAATTAATTAATTAATTTTACATTATGTAATTTATTCAAACTAAAATAAACAAAAAAATTAAATCAAAGGCCCCAAACGGCTATATAGCCGTTGGGACTTGCTTGAAATTTGAATCAATAGAGCCGTTGGGGGTGGGGGTGGGGTGGGTGGTGGGGGTACAAAAATTTCTATAAATACTCATATTTTTTAACATTTTTATACACATCTTGTCCAATCTCCAATCTCCATTCTCCATCTTCATCTCCATCTATTCTAGTATTTGTAGAATTATTCAATCTACCATTTTTAAGATGGAAAGTCAATATGCCGTTATATGGTATAACTTTGATACGCAGAAGGACCCGATGATCGGGATGTGGTACGCAACTTGCAAATGGTGCGGAAAAAAGTGTAGCATGGGGGTTTCACGCGGATACGGTATGGCAAAGAAGCATATTAAGTCACGTGACAAAGCCAAAGGACCGGGAGGTCCGGGAAGTTCCGATTGATTACAAAATGTATTTCATAGTGTATTTTTTTTTCTCAATTATCAAATGTAGTTCCTCTTTCATTTCAAATAAATGCACTTGAAGTTTGTTTTAATACTTGTATAAAACTATAAAGTATAAATTAAAAAAATGTATTTAACTGGCCCGGCCCGGCCCAGCCGGATGCCCGACCCGTGACCCGGGCGGGTGGCCTGTCCTGAACTGGAACCGCCTTTACCTCGGGCCGGTCCCGGGCCCATCATTCACAAACCGGTGACCCGGCCCGACCCGAATCCATGCCTACATGTAAGCCACCAAAATATTGTGCTTCTCTATAAAATTTTGATTATATGCTGGAACAAGATAAGGCCATTGAGCAAAGCACAACTGCCCAAGTAGGGGTGAGCATCGGGCGGGTTCGGGTCGGGCGGGTGGGTGGGTGAACCCAATACCCTTTCGGGTTTCGGATGTGTAATATGGATATCCTACCCTATGTTTTTTTACTTAGATATTTTCGGGTTTTATTGTATTTCGGGCAGGGCGGGTTCGGATCGGGTATCGAGTTTACTCGGTTTCAAGTTGGAAAATATAAAATTACAATTGCAAAACATAATTTGATTCTCATGCATAATGTGAATATTACAAAGTAAAGAGTAGGGGGATCAAAATCGTAACAAAGAGTTTTAGCATATCACAAAATAAAGATTACTGAATTACACAATTCATTAATCATTAACATCCAAAGTTCCAACTAGTCAAGTACGCAAAAATGCAAAAATGCTTGAAGACTTTGAAGTTCCACAACTATCTTCCACAGTTTGAAGTTTCCACCTGCATAAGAAAGTTAATGAACACATGGAAAGCAACAGACATGTAGTAGAGTAGTACAATATGTCAATAACAACTTAACAAGGATAAGTTAATGAAACAAAATAACAAATTAGAGAAATCACTGACTCAGAATGCTTCTTATCCTTCACAAGGAATATAGGGGCAACTGCTACAATTTCAGTTACAACTTACATGTTATGAACTGAAAGAGCTATACCAACCTTAAACCATACATTCAGTAATGTGTGGAAGCTTCATCATAGTCAATGAAAATTAATAGAAATGATAGAGTAAAGGATTAATGGGATTATGAGATACTTACGCAAAACCTGCAAATCAGAGCAAGGTCCATGGACAGTTGGCATTTGTCAGCATGTGCATGCTTTCCAGAATGACAGAATCATGCTCATTCAAATGTAACGAGCACATAATAGTATAATACATTATACTCATATTGGCAGTAGGTCCAACACCAAATCATATAGCCATGTACTCATGTTCATACACATTCAAATGGAAAAACAAGCACATAATGGCACAAATCACACATTTCATAGAGCTCGGAATGCTTATTATCATTCACAAGGGAAATAAGGGGCATCTGCTATAACCTACCATTTCAGTTATAACTTACAAGTTACCATTCATGAACTAAAAGAGCAATACGAACCCAAAACCCTATATGCAGTAATGAGTGGAAGCTTTCATCATAGCCAATGCCAAATCATAGAGTCATGTATTCATGTTCATACACATTCAAATGAAAAAACAAGCACATAATGAAACAAACCAGACATTTCAAAGAGATCAGAATGCTTTTTATCATTCACAAGGGAAATAGGGGGCATCTGCTACAATTTCAGTTACAACTTACCATTTTATGAACTGAAAGAGCAATACCAACCCTAAACCCTATATGCAGTAATGAGCGGAAGCTTCATCATAGCCAATGTCAAATCATAGAGTCATGTATTCATGTTCATACACATTCAAATGGAAAAACAAGCACATAATGAAACAAATCAGACATTTCATAGAGCTCAGAATGCTTTTTATCATTCACAAGGGAAATAGGGGGCATCTGCTACAATTTCAGTTACAACTTACCATTTTATGAACTGAAAGAGCAATACCAACCCTAAACCCTATATGCAGTAATGAGTGGAAGCTTCATCATAGCCAATGCCAAATCATAGAGTCGTGTACTCATGTTCATACATATTCAAATGGAAAACCAAGCACATAATGACACAAATGCACAATATAAATATAGAAATTGTACACTTAATGGCACAATAGAGGATCCAGTAGGAGCAACATCACCATCACCAACATTTCCATCCATTATTTCTATAACAAACAAACAGAATTTTTAGAATTTTGAAATTTAAACAATAAGCTTCAGAATATGCAAATAATACATGAAAACACATAGAACTTATACCTTTTTGCAGCCTCTCTACTTCATAAATGTTTTCTTCAGCTGAGATAGGCTGGTGAGCCATTCTCAACCAATCTTGTGCACATATAAGGGCTTCCACAATTTTACAACTTAATGAACTCCTAAAACAGTCCAAAACCCTACCACTTGTACTGAAAGTGAACTCATAAGCTACTGTGGAAATAGGAACACCAAGTACATCCCTAGCCATCTTGGAAAGTATAGGAAACCTTTCACTATTTAACTTCCACCATCTTAGAATATCAAAGACCCCATCTTCCTCAAATATGGACTCAGCTAAATATATATCAAGTTCAGATTTTTTAACTCGTAACTGACCACTCTCAAGCTTCTTCTTTTTATGATCAGCCTTAAACCTGGACACAAGCCTATTTTCAGAATTACCACACTCCATAGATGCTCCAGAAGTAAAATTTGTATTAGAACTTCCACCAACACAGTCAGGGTAACTTGAAACATAATCAACAAATAACTCAGTTAGACCTGACTTCACTTTTAGAAAAAAAGCAGCACCTTTTTTGTCACCATATAAAGCATTTAGCTGAAATGGCATATACTCAAACTTGTCCCTAGGATCTAAGAAATTAGCATAGAAGATTAGATAGTTCATCTTTTCAGGATCACCCCAGTACTTGTCTAGTTTGGATTTCATAGTACTCCCAATGGCACTGATAGAAGCAGTTGGAGAGGCAACCATATCTTTGAGGACAAGGAACAAGTCAGAAATTTCACAAAAAAAGGTATTGGAAGTAACATATAGTGAGCCTGAAATTCTTAGTGTCATTTCATAAAAATGTTTTAGAATGGTCACAAAAGATTCAACAGCAATCCAATCTAAAACATCAGGCATGTCAGAACACAAATCAGTACTATATGCAGATTCATTCTCCTCATAGGCTTCAAACACTTTCTCATTACAAACTGCAGATTTTAGCATCAGGTAAGTGGAATTCCACCTAGTTGGAACATCCAGGTGCAGACCACTCTTGGCTTCCACTCCTATCAAATCAGATATATCTTTGAACTTTTGAAGCCTAACAGAGTTCCTAACATACTTAACAGCTTCCCTTACTGTCATGACAGACGTGTCTGCATGTTTAAGACCATCTTGTACTGCTTAGTTCAAGATGTGTGCAATGCAACACATATGAACATACTTTACTTTTACAGAAGAAACACCCCAGGCTACTAATTTTTTCTTGAAAAACCAACAATTGTATCATTACTACTAACATTATCAACAGTCACAATAAAAATACTTTTCAGACCCCAATCAAGTAAGCAATTCTCTAGGACTTTAGCAAGGTGACAGGGACAAAGGAAATTATTTTTTTCTGGAGCTTTCACTGATGATCTATGAAATGAGCAGTAATGCACATGTAATTTATCCTCTGAATAGAGGTCCATGTATCAGTAGTTATACTAACTCTCTGAGTGTGTTCTCTAAAATTCCTTTTTAGAGTCATTTTTCATCAAGGTATATTTGAAAAATGTCTCTAGCAATTGTCCATCTAGAAGGAATTTGAAACCTAGGACAGGCTGCAGCAACAAAATTCCTAAAACCTTGTTTGTCTACAAATCTAAAAGGAAGCTCATCAATGATTAGCATTTCACCTAGAGCTCTCATAATAGCTTGTTGATCAAATACCCAAGTTCCCATGACCCCAATCTTTCCAGTTGGTTCACCTGTCTGTGGAGGTACAGGCTGGAAGGTTAATAGGGCTTGTCTAGTATCTTTAGCACGGGGGTTTTTCATGCAATTAAGCATGTGATTTCTTATGGAGGAAGTTCCATGTTTCTTAGAGTGACAACAGTATATTTTTGCACAGTATATGCACCTCCCCTTAATAACCACACCCTTTTCATCCTTAATTTCATCAAAGTGATCCCAAATCTTAGATCTTTGCTCAACCACTTTTCTCTTGTCCAGAACAGCAGATGGTGCAGTCTGCTCATTGGTAATGTTAGGCTTAGGATTTTGACCTTCCACCACTGTTTCTTGACTCAGAGGAGGTTGAGATCCAGATGTAGAAAAGGTCACACATTCTTCAGGGTCCATCTAATGTAAGCAAGTAAGCAACACATGATATATTGATAGGTGTATAACTAAGCTTTCACATTGTTAATTAATACTTAATACCTCACAAATAATAGGTAAATAGTGTAAGTCTGGAATAATCAGCAAACTGATTTACAGAAGGATAAA